TGGTACATCTTGCTCCAGTTCCCGTCACTGTGACGGGCGAACAAACCGCAAGGTTGTTCGTCGATGGCGTGTTCCGCTATCACGGTCTCCCGGAGACGATTGTCTCGGACCGAGACCCGCGGTTCACTGCTGCGTTTTGGAAAACGCTGTTCCCTTTACTGGGAACTCGTCTGCAGATGTCCACTGCGGATCATCCGCAGACAGACGGCCAAACAGAGCGCGTCAATCGAGTGCTCGAGGACACTCTGCGCAGTGTGTGCGCGGCAGCGCCACGTACGTGGTCGACGCAGCTTCCAGTTGTTGAGTTTGCGCTCAACAACGCGGTGCACGCGTCCACGGGGTTCACGCCGTTCTACTTGAACGGCTTCCGCCACCCCAGAGTGCCTCTCACTCTTCGAGGAAACACTGACTCCTCTATTCTAAGTGGGGGAGAGGCTCGGAAAGCCCTTTCCTCCCAGGTCTCGGATGTGAGGCCAGTTTCGCTGCAGAAACAGGTGGAATCCTTTATGGATACCAAGCTGAACATTGTCAGCAGGGTCCGCGATGCCATGGCAGCGGCCCAAGATAAACAAAAGGAGTACTCGGACAAACAAGGAAGAGGAAACTTAAGTATATTTGAGATTGGTGACTTAGTGTTACTAGACACGAGGAACCTACCTCTAGACACTGTTAGCTCTGTCGGCAGCAACAAGCTGAAGCACCGCTTCATCGGACCTTTTGCAGTCCTGGCCAGACATGGTGCGTCGTACACCATCGACCTTCCAAAGTCAATGACGACGCACCCGACGTTCTATGTCGGACGTCTTAAGCGGTACTTTGACCCGCAGGGGTTGCTGACTCGCAGACCCCCCTTGACCCAGCTCCTCGAAGCGAGGGCCGGTCACAGTCGTCGACGAGGGCGTCGGAGCAGGCACCCAAGCCTCGGTCGGGACGGCAAGGCTGCGGTCAAGACCGTACGCCGGAGGGGCTCCATACGAACGGACCCCGGCGCCATACGCCGAGTACGCTGAGTACGCCGGGTACGCACCATACGCGTACGTCTGGGAGTGTGCCGCAGGCGGCTCCGGACGTGGCAACAAAGCCTCGATCCGTCGGATCATGCGAAAGGCCTCGTCCAGATCGGACGAAGAGGCCCGGCGGTCCACCCGCAGGTGCAGGCTCGCGACCTCTCGCTCCACCAGGTCCAGGCGACCCGCAAGACGAGCGAGCTCGCCCTGATTCCCGGCCTGGGCGGCAGCATTACCGCCAGTCCCAAGGCCAAGTGCAATCTCAAGCACGAGGAGACGTTGACGGAGGCGGTCAACCTCAGGGTCCCGTGTCGGACCCGCAGTCGGAGCACTCGAACGAGAGTGGCTCTCGGGAGGCGCCGAGTACTCGTACTCGTACGAGGGCACCTCCGCCCCTGCTTGACCGGAATGGAGAAGTCCACTTCCACGTGGAGCGGATCCTCCAGGAGCAACGGTGTCGCGGGAAGCGACAGCTCCTCGTGAAGTGGAGGGGTTATGCCCACTCCGAGAACTCGTGGGAGCCGATTGAACGGCTCCTGATTGACTGCCCGAAGGCTGTCGCAATCTGGGAACAGAAGCGGCGGCAGCTTCATAAGTAGTCCGGGGCTTCTTGCCCGAACGGGGTACGGATGATGAATACATACCGTACCCGCGCTCATCGTGAGCGCTGGCAGCCGCGCGCTTCAGGATGTCCCTTGGCAGCATGCGCTTGCTGACCAAGTGGGCAAACCTCACACGAAGATCACGCTGGTCCAGGATGCGGGACAGCAGCTGATCTTCATGGAGTTCCCGTAACTCCGTGGGTGAATACTTAAGAGACTCCACCCATGCCCAGAACATGTCCTCACAAGAACTCCATGTGGGACAGTTCTCGGGCATAACCCAGGGGTATCCCCAAACAGGATAGAGACCACCCCGGGTCTCGGGCTTCTTACGACAAGTCGTGAAGTCCTTAAGGGGAATGCGGTGTGGCGCGAGAAGCACACACCGAGCAGCCTCCACGTTGTCGACGAACAACTGTTCTTTCTGAACAAGGGCTCGTTCATAGATGCCCCTAGAAGTGTGGCCGCCCACAAGGCCACGAGGAGCGACGAGAAGCTCTAAGAAGAGGTCAGCCCCAGAGCTCTCCTCGGGAGGCCAATACCCTCTTGAGTTGATGGCAGCTCCCTGGCTGACGGGTGCCGCCACCGAACCCCCACGCACACGCTGGGCAGCTTGGAAATCCTCCTGCTGCTGGTCGAGGTCATTCGAGACCTCCCGGGGCTCAACAATGGCACCCTCCTCTTCCTCTTCTTCCTCCTTCTCCTCCTCTTCATCCGAGGAGCCGAAGAGACTCTGATAGGAGCGTCGAGTCTCCTTCTCCTCGCGGAGTGGAGACTTAGAGGCGGTACGCTTCTTTGAGGGCTTGGCGCCTTCGGCTTTAGAGGCCTTAGCGCGCGCAAGACCCTCGGCAAGCGAGAGACGTTTGCGAGGACTCCCTTCCTCATCGCCACCGGCTTTGGGAGTGCCCTTAGCCTTAACGGCCGGACTCTCAGAGCGCACAGAGGTCCTGGGACTGTGATCACCGTGATCACTAGCGGACGACTGCACGCTGTCTTCTTTGTGCTCACTGGGCACTGGGCTGTGCCCTCCCACAGAGCCCGCAGGAGCATCATGAGTGCTCTCGGACTCGGCATCGTCCTCACTGCCCGAGTTGAACTCACGTTCTACGAACCGAGGGTTCGGACGATTGTCTGAAGACGAGGGCGACGGACTGCGGCGCCTGCTTGCGCGCTTGTCCGCAGCCGCGTCACCCGAGGATCCGATCGCCTCGGAGGCCACCTGAGTAGCCTCCTTGAGTGCAGAGCCTTTGCCGTGAGGCTTAGTGCTCTTGGCCTGCGCCTTACCGGCTGCAGCCTTGGAGCGTGTCTTAGCACCGCTCTTAGCAGTGCCACGAGGCATGTTAACGGTCGAAGTGGAGACCTTGACGAAGAGCGCACAGGTTGCTGCTCGAGGCTCTAACTGTAAAGTGAGCCTCCGCCGCGCTCGCGCGGCCGAGTCGATGGTTTTCGACTTTGAGAATGAGAGTTTGTGACGAACATCTCTTCATTCTGATTGGTCGGTAAACCGAACCTAAGTGGGGGAGGATGTAACGGGGTACGTAGCACTAAGTGTACCCTGGTTACATGAAGTGTGACACTTCACACTTCAGGAGTATGACATGTCATACTTCGGGATATTTGGTACAAGGTACCAAGGTCATTCAAAACCAACCATTGGTTAAATGACATTGCATTTCTATAGGTAACTGATAGTTTGTATTAACCTCAAACTTAACCTACCTATAAATATACTCAGTTTACAATCTACCTTATTTAGGTCACTTCGCTCTCTTTAATTAAAGAGGGGACCTGTGAACTGCCGTTCACTGAGAGTTTGTATACTCTCGGAAGATACCTTCCTCTAGCGCAAGGTGCTGTGTGACCCCGTCACAGGTATCCTCAAACAACGCCTGTGTAACTATGTTGTGATAGTAGATCGGGTATCAGTACACGAAGAGTTCAGGAAACCATAAAGCTAGCGACCACATTCAAATTAAGCTCCTATTTGCAAGGGATCTAGTAGAAAAAGGATGTTGGGCTGTCCAGTACTACCTACTTACATATATGTCCTAACTAAGGTAAGTAATTTTACAACCCTGAGAGGCACAATTGGAGTGAAATACCTACTGACATCGATGAACACTGCATGGGACAGTTAGAATGAGTATTTAGATAATGATGTTAATGCCAGTGAGCCTACGAGTACGTGGGAAGTGTCCACTGGTTAGATAGGCGGCTCCACAAATAAGGATAGGTGAAGCCGGCATGAGAAACACATACGTAGCGAATCAGTAAAATTAAAACAGCCTGCACAGGGAAAGATCTTTGCAGGCGGCATCGCTCGCGCGATGGTGGTCTAAGTTGCTAATGGAAGCTCACTTCTCCTTTTTCCTACGACTGAGCGCATCAGTCTATAAGAGCATTAAGAGAATAGATAAAAGCGTTAAGCGCTAAGCTTTAGCTTAAGCTGACCATTCAGCACGCGAGCACCCCGCGCAAATTTGCTGCGGCTACGCAACAGCGCACCCGCTCACCTCCATCGGGAGGCCGTTGTTGCGGCAGCTTCAATTAGCTTGTATCAGTATCTTTTAGTGCAATTAGTGCATTTTAGAGCATATTTAGGTTTGTTTTCTCCAGCCCCGTGCGCTTTCCGTATTGTCTGCACCAAGCCGGAGTATGGCAACCAAAGTTGATGCTGCGGTTGCGAAATAGCCACAGGAGGTGCTTTGTCACTACGAGAGTTGCAACACACAATATAATACGACGAACACATAAATTGTTAACAAGCTCGCTAAAGTACTATATTTTGAGCTAGTACTAATGGATTCTACCAAGTAATATACTACGTGCGGTATACTATTCCATTACAATACCTCAAATTGCGCTAGGATACATACACTACAATATAATGGAGAGGCTTCTGGCCAATTAAAAATCAACCCCCCTACATAAAATTATCTGTTTGAAGAGATAATCGTCGAGTTTGATTTACTTACAAGAGAGCTTTCCGAGACCAAACGCAGTACGACTTGATGCTGAAGAAACTATCTGCAGCACTCTAATATTTTGCCAAACCGAAAACCCCCCAGAAAATCCAGTGCTCCGAATAGGAAACGCAGCTGGAAAACACGAGATCGATTTCTAACTGCAGACAATGAAGTTCCTTGCGAAAGAGAACACTCAATCAATATCAAAGAGCTAAATATTCTGATCTGGCTTATGTTTGGGTCGAAACCGAGCTCAAAAATGGTCGAGAAATTCATGAACGCGTCAGATAGGGATCTCTCAACGTGATGGAGTGGGTTTCGTATGGTCTTGAGGCCAATAAACACACCGGAAGCCAATCATTCGCCAACCGGATCCACCTTCTCTTCGCAACGTCAGACGTCTGCCAGACTAACTCTACCAGAAGTTCAACTTGGTCTAGTTTCCATTTTATAGACTATTTAGACCCTATAAACGCGCCGCCTAAACCAGAATCGACCTGGGATCAACTGAGAAAACGCGGCATAATTCTCAATCATTTCAAGTCTCGCCACGACCTGGTCAAGCCACGCGACGTATCGAGTGGCACGAGCTCCGACAATTTCTTGGGTACCTTACATTTAAGCACACGCTCTAACAAGTTAGATTATATCCACTTTCTTGAAATAGACCAAAATAAAAAAAAACTGAAAAATGCAGGTAGAATCTGATATAAAATGCTGCAGGTGAAGTTGCCTATGACACCTTCTTTTTTTTGCCAGATATTAGGCCCAGATCTTGAGTAGCGTGTCCCAGCTGCCTGTGCACAGTGCCTGACCTGCCGGGTTAACTCCGAGGCAAGACACACGGTTCTCGTGTCCCGCGAGCTGGTAGATATGCGCTCCGGAAGTGCTGAGCACGTCCCAGCAGTAGCAATTGTAGTCGTCGTAGCCCGCGAAGAGGAAGCGACCCGACTTAGAGAAGCTCACGGACGTGATGCCGCATAGAATCTTGTCGTTACTGAAGTTGTTGAGCTCTCCATACGCTCGAAGATCAAAGAGACGGCAACTCGAGTCGTCCGAGCCGGTACCCAGAGCGTTGCCACTCGGGAAGAAATCGACCGAGTTAATATCCGACTCGTGGCCCTGGAACGTGTGCGTGGTCTTGCCCGTTCTGATATCCCAGACCTTGGCGGTCGAATCACACGAGCCCGAAATAAACATACTGGGGTTATGTGGGTTAATGCTCACGGACATGACGTCGCCCGAATGTTCGCGGAATGTGGTCTTTACTTCGCCACTTTCGACGTCCCACAAGATGCAGTTGGAGTCCCCCGAGCTAGTGACAATGTTCGCTTCGTCGACGAATCGGCAACAGCTCAGGTAGCCATCATGGGCGGCTAGTTCCTTGGTGGCGCGCATCACCTGCGCCTGTGATAGGTGGAAAATGCTGCACAAGTTGTCCAACCCGCCACAGGCGACCATGTTGCGCTGCTTCTGCTCGAAGGCACAGGTCATGACCCAACTGGAGCGTAGAGGGATGGCCTGGATCTTGTTGGTGGTCTGAGCGTTCCACACGATGAGCTTGCCGTCCTGTGACGCCGACACAAGACTCGAGCTGTCTCCGCCCCATTGCATGGCGTAGATCTTGCCAAAGTGGCCTTTCAATAGTCGTCGACATTTGGGTGGGGCCAGGATCGCCTTGGCGCCGGAGCTGGCATTGGCGCTCTGGAAGCCGCCATCACTCTTGGCTTCACGCGTCTTCTCAATCGTCTCCTTGAGGCTCTCGCATTTCTTCTTGAGCTCCGCAGCGTCGCCCATGGCCTTCGAGATGAGGCGGCGTACTGGGGAATGCGACTGTTTCTAACTGCGTGTCGCGACGCTTGCGAGAATATCTTCCACGAAATAACGAGATGTGATTGGAGGGGAAAATGTGAAAGAAGAACGAAGATTGGCTGAGAACTCAAATGGGATGTAGCCATATGAAACCAACGTTGAAGTGGGTACATGGCTAATACTGTAGCAATAATATTTTACCGTTCCGGCTCATACAGTATTCAATATCTACAATTTGGTTTATTTTACCATTTCAAATATTTTACCCACTCTTTTGAGCTACATGCAGAATACCTTAGCTTTCTGATATTAAAAGGTAATACTGTACATTGCTACGCTCATTTCTCTCGAGCACCGACCGTATAACTCCCATACGCCATGAGAACACTAACGCCGAGAAGCAAAAAAAAAAGAGGGTTTTCAGGGAGAGCAGAAAGTGCCATGCAAGCCTCTTTTCAGTACTTAAGAGTACATCAAACTCGAGTTTAGCCAGTAAAGTCTAGAGAAATAAATGCACTTTTGATAGCAATAAACTGTATTTGCCTATCTACAGTATAAAACCAAACAATTCTAAATTGCTATCGCTTGATCTTATTAGCCAGCTCATGCTGCCATTTCGCTGCAATACTCGCAGTTGCAGGAACGTTGATCGCTTTCTCGAGCATAGCGGACAGATCCTTGACACCGTAGAATGTCAGGACCGTGCTTATCGCCGGAGGAACCTTCTCAGGTGTTTGTGAGCTCAGCTTCATCCTGTAGCTCTCCCACATTCTCAAGTTGGGGTTAATCAGAAGACCGTCCAGTCCTCTATTCAGCTTCAATAGCTCGAAAACTTGGTTCGATGATTTGCTTTCTGTCAGCCACCGTTTTACCATAATGTTCTCCAAATCCATAGGAAGCTTCTTAAAAAGATCTATCCTTTGCTCTCCAAGTATAAAAATCTTTGATAGGCCGTCGTAACCATAATGTCCAACCAACACATCCAGCATAACATCTTCGGGTGCTCGATCATAACTGCTTTTGATATGGACATACCATGTATTCAACTGCGGAGACGCGAAGAGGTCATATCCCGCTTCGTCAAGCTTTAGAATCTTGAAAACATTCTCCGCGGGTTCTTCACTGTTATGCCACTTACCTAACAGATCTCCCCGCAATAATGATGAGACTTTTTCCATTTTGGGGTTTTTCAACCCCAGTTCAACCATCTTCGCCACATCGTCCTCACCGTAGGTCTTACTGAGCATGTCGAGCATTGAAACCTGCTCCTTGGGTTTTTCCTTGTTAAATATATCAAGGTAGCGTGCGTACAGATAAAGCTTTGAGTTGGTGACTTCCTTGTTCATCGGCGGAGTCGTGAAGATTTTATATGCCCCCCTGTCCAGCTTTAGCAGCGTGAAAATCTCGTCTGCGGTTTTCCCCGACGTGACCCAACTAGTTGCGAGCTCCGTCCGCAGTCTCGATGTAAATTTCATAGTAGTTGCGTCGCTTGTTCCCATTCCAAGAAGTTTGATTACACCGTCAGTTCCATAAGTCGTCGTGAACATGTCAAGCATTGAGACCTTATTCGTGGAGTGTTGCTTGTTGAACCGGTCGATATAGGCTGCGTAGAGATGTAGCTTCGGGTTGGTGAGAATCCCATCCAGCCCGCCGCTAAGACCTAGCTTGTTAAAGACGTATTCCGAGTTCTTCTGCTTGTACATCCACTTTTCGATCCTGATTTTTTCGGCTAAATTGAGCTTCTTCGCCGCTGCCACCTTGGGTGAAAACAACCATTCGACAAACTTTGATGGTGTGGGAGCGTTGAAGCTGATTGCTCGCTGTTCGCTGTCCTCCGTTCTGTCACTTCGTAGCTTCCTGGTAGGAGCAGCATCTCGAGGGTTGTTTCTTAAAAAATCGACTGGCAGGCCGACATTTGCTTCCATAGCCGCGGATAAAGCAGAAGTTCCTGCAAATAGGGTAGCCAGTAATACCACGAAGAATCGCATGCTCCGCGCGTTGGGTGGCAAATTACAATTTGAGAAGCTCGCTATAAAAGCAACATAAAGCAAACAACTGCTCGCTCGACAATCCCAACAATCCCATCTTGCATCGAAGTACAGTTCCATTTCTGAGGTTCTGCAGGCACAAGCAGTGATTGTGCCTGCGTAAAATCTATAGTGTGAATAGAGCTATTAATAGCAGTTTACATGTTAGTTATCAAATTTATTTTAATAATTAAAAAAAAACATTTGTATTGATATTATTTAAATTTTGAGCAGCCCAAAAAAAATCAACAGTACATGCATCGTGGAATGGCCTAGAAATCCAGCTGAACTATCACAAGACAAAATATCTTCTATAGATACGCAATTAACGTTATTCGCAAGGATCAAGCTCACAGTCTCTACCATCATTTAATCAAAGGAAAGACTAGGAATAGGAGTCCAGTATCGCTAAATCTGCTGGCAAATCGGTGATGAAACGCGAATACGATTATTAATAATAGTACGCCCAGTATGATGCTGATGAAAGGTGTAACGTAAGATGATGATCAAAGGTGTAACGTATAATGATGATGAAAGGTACAGCCTGAATTACCTACAACATTTATTTCTTTTTTGTGTGAAGCTGCCTGTGTACACTGAAAACCAAAACTTTGTAATACGTCCTTTGATATGTGATGCGGAAGCCTTAAGTCCTGGTTGTAGTTTCGAAGAAGAGTCGGTATTGTTTTACGCATGTCGGGTATCGTCTTGCCGCCAGATACTACTACGTAGTACATTTATTAGTACTAGCGCTACTTGTATTGTATTAATCTTGATCATCACAAATACTCTTTTTATTATTTATTACAACAGCTGGAGCTCGGAAAAGCGGTACAAAAAGTTAAATACCGTCGTAAATGTGAACTTGTACCGGTTTTGAGTGCAAAACTGTCCTTTTTTTCGTAAATTTGAGCTTGTTCTGGTTTTGAGTGCAAAACTGTCATTTTTTTGCGATTGTGAGCTTTTACCGGTTTTGAGCTTAAAACTGTCATATTTTCGGCGACATCTGATTCGCTGGTAAAACCGCACGTCGATCGAATTGCACTGTCTGATTCGCCGCGATGAATCGCTTCATACCGGTTCATCTTTGTCACATTTCATCACTTCAAGTGCGGTCGATTGGGAATCAAAACGCCTTCTTCGTTCCTTTCGACACTCATGGGGTTTTCCTTCATGGAGCTGCCCGTCAACCAGCGGGTCGTCGTCATCTCCATCCTAATTCTTCTGTTCGGGCTTTTCTTTGGTCTCTCGCTCGACGCCAATGCGCACATCCCCAAGCCGTGGAACCGCGTCTCCAGCATCATTGGCTGGATCTATTTCTTCTGCTGGAGCGTGAGCTTCTACCCGCAAGTGTTCCTGAACCGCCAACGCCGCAGCGTCGTGGGGTTGTCGCTGGACTACACGGTGCTCAATATGCTGGGCTTCACGTGCTACTCCATCTTTAACGTGGCCTTCTACTACAGCGAGAGCGTTCAAGAGCAGTACATGCGGCGCCACGACGGCCACCGCAACGCCGTGGAGCTCAACGACGTCTTCTTCTCTCTGCATGCGGCGGTTCTGGTGGCCGTATCGCTCTTCCAGTGCGCAATATACCCGCGAGGCGGACAGGTGGTCAGCAAGCCCACGATGTTGTGGACCGGCGCGACTATCGTCGCCGCTGTTGTCTTCGGGCTTGCAGTCTTGTTCACGGGAAATAACGAAGATTCGCTCATCAATACGTTGAACTTATTGTATCTGCTGAGCTACGTGAAGCTCATGACGACGCTGGTGAAGTGTCTCCCGCAGATTGCGCTGAATTACCAGCGCAAGTCGACGGTGGGGTGGACAATCTGGAACGTGCTGCTGGATATTGCTGGAGGGTTGCTGTCCATTGGGCAGCAGCTGCTGGACTCTGCAGCGACGAACGACTGGACAGCCATGACGGGGGACCCAGTCAAGTTCTCGCTGGGCTTTGTGAGTATTATTGTGGACGTGGTGTTCATCTTGCAGCACTATGTGTTTTACGCCGACAACAACAACTTTATGCTGCATGGTGGAGAGACCAAGCCTTTCTTGCCCAAATAAGAAAAAAAGAAGTGGTTAAAACAAAATTCGCCATGGAGGCGTTATTTTGTGTCTAGTTCGAAAAGCTAACGTAAAAATGAAGCGAAATATTCAACATGGTGACATTGAGCGTGACTAGTGAAACAGCCACCAGCGTAAGAGTTGGCTCGCCCTGCATCATTTTTAGTTGGGCTGCTTGGGAAAAGCTGCCGCCCAACCCATTGCCTCAACATCCTCCCACAATGCCGTACACGCTGTGCTTCCGCAATTCCCTTGATCTGATCAATAGAGAGTGACAAAAGCATGTCTCGATATCGCCTGAAACTGAGCTTCGCTGCACTTTGTCGCGAACTAAAATCATCCTCGATTAGAAATCTTTTAGCGACTTGTATTAATTTTTACACAACTGAAGAGAAAACGAAGTAAGCAAGTCCGGAGAGGAGGTCATTGCGCCAGCACCCATCCATTCAAGCTGCACATGCACTGTAAAGAGCTCCATTATTGCAGCTGTCGAAGCTGGTTACCGTTGATTTTTAGATAAAGTTTTTACCCGAACGGCTCAAATTATTGTTTTTTTTTTTCACTCTAAATCTTCTGCAGAACATGCCCACCCGCTAACTATCAGTACGTTTGATCTAGAACAACATGACGGAGAGAGTCACGCCGACGTATCCGACGATGGAGACTGTGATCGTTGAACTCGAGCTGATGGACGAAGCTTCATCCACTTCTACTTCGGCGTCAGTAGAGCTGCTTGGCGATCCACTGCTGCCACAAGCTTCCGTGACGGGTTCAAAAATGTCCTTTTGCATCGAGGTCCCCGTGCTGGGAATTGTGCAGTCGCCTAGACCCATTGTGCGCACATCGTCGTATAATGCCATGCAAGGGCCGCTTGCGCAGAACAACTTGACTTGATCGCTAGATAGAGCAGCCAAACTCAGAATCTCCACGAATTCCATGGCTTTCGCGCATGGATCCACATGTGAGTTGCTCGCCACCGCACTTATTTGCTCAATGGTACAGTCGTCTGCGCTAACCGAGCTGGCGATGAAGAGAATGGACAACCAGAACAGGAGCAGCGGCATGTCGCGTGATGTCTTTGAGTCGGTCAGGGACGAGTTAATAGACCACGTTGGTGTGCGTCCTTGGGAGCGAAGAGCAGAGTGACAAGCGTGAGCGTGTGATGACATTCCACCGGATTCGCTGAGAGGCTCTCCCCAAACATACGTTCGACTAGTCTCTCTGCACTCTATTAAAGAAACTGATGCAGCCCTTCTGTCCGTTTTTGTCCTTATCGGCGCCATAGGCTCTAACATACGGCAAGTGGAAATTGTGTCGAAGGGTTAACAGAGGTTTTTGTTGATAGACAGCTTTTCGTCTTAAGAAAGATAGCGAAAGGGCTTAGATGTAACTCTCTAGCTTCTGGCCCATCTCTCATTAACGCGGGCTCTCGCTCAAAACGAGCTACATCATCGACAAAGCGGTCCAACCGCAATAGTCTCTCAAGTCTAAGGGGATGCGAAGTGATTTCTGGTATCAGCGCAATTGTCGGTTGAAGTCGACGCCTGGAATGAAACATTTCCTAAGGGTTAACAAGTAGTTGCACAATGTCATGGTGACTTTTTAAGGACCTCAGCTGCTCAGCAAATCCACCCACGCCCCACTGCGTGAAGAGGTTTCCGCAGTACCTACCATTCCCTTTCAAATGAAACACGTAGCGCACAGCAAATCTGAATTTTTAGATAAGTATTGCACTACTTAGTATATAAGAAGGCTCACCATATATATTTCACTGTAGGAACTGTGAGAGAAGAAATACTGCCATCTGCTAGTAAATCGTCAGTCTTTAGAAGCAGTCGACAGACAGCTTAATGTCTTGCGGTTGCAGCCGTTCTCAAGGGTGGCGAACCACGTTAAGCTGTCGCCCTGATGTCGGCGCCGTATTTGACCAGTATACGTTGCCGACATGTCGGGCTTGCGACGATTAAGAAAATTTTATCCATTTGCGTTTCGTGATTCTCACCCCCACTTCTATCAGTATTTACAACCCCGTTTTGCTCCTAGTATTCTAAAAGCTAAAATATGATATTTTTAAACTTCGAAGCTAATAATATGATTATATTACTGCGGGTTTTTGGACAAAGAAAATGAAAACTCATTTCAGACAAACACGTTTATTAATAACCCCGGTCGCATGCCACAAATAAACATGTCAGATCCTCTGTCAAGCGTTTATTTGTTATTTTGTATTGTTCTTGTAGTTTTACACAGAAAACGTTTTAGTTTAGCCAACTAGATATTTTCAGCTGAATAACTAATCTGGTCCAAGTCTTATCAACACAAGTACAAGCTGGTTTACGGATAAACTTTAAGTTTCTGCAAGTAGTGGCTTCAATATCTGTCTGCACAAGGCATCTTATTCCGGATCGTGTTCAGTTTGCAGATTGTCGTTCCAGTTGACCGCAAACACAACACAATTTGCCTTGTGAAGCGCAGCTCTCCCCTAGATTAAAAACAACGTAACGTTAGCATGATTTCGTCGCTCTCTGCCTTTGTCGCAATCAGCATGACACTCGTCGGTGGCGTTGGTGCGGACGACGCCTGTGCTACCACGGACCTCGTTGGAATCGCGAGTAATTCTCACGTGGCTGGATGCTCCGCTGATGCAGGATTCAGCAGCATTTCGACGATATCTGAGCTCACTACCGAGCCATCTGTGCGAGCTCTGCTTGCACGGCACTAATGAAGGATATCGCAGCATTGGGCCTCGGCAGCTGCAGGCTTCCAGAGACGAAAATATATCTCCAGACAGACATCATCGACGCGTTCACAGATAGATGTAGTGCAATTGAGTCATCATCAAGCAGCAACGGCGCCGTATCTACCGACAACGTCACAGTGTAATAGACTGAGGAAGCGTTTGTGTTGTTTGGCAACAAATTGAAAATTGACTAGCTAGAATTTCTAGGACGTCTACACTCTATCGTGTCCACTCCTTGATCTTGTTTAGTCCTTCCCGTGATCTTGTTTAGTCACTAAATTCCGTCCCGTAAGCTTACCGTAAACTTAACCGTAAACTGTACCCATATTTAGGTACCATATTGTTTTACATGTTCAGCAATAATATGTACGGATTCGTCACACGACCTCCTTTTGAAAGAAGGTGCTTATTTCGTCGGGCAGTTTAGAGCGATGTGGCCGACGTTCTTGCAGCGATGACACGTCGCTGAACTCTGCCAGTCCTCATTAGCTGCTATGGCTCTTTGCCCTGCGTGATCGAAACGAAGCGCTAGTTGGATAGACTCATCGAGCGTCGCCGGGTGATGTTCTCGCAAATGATTTGCGGTTGCCGGCTTAAACCCTTGTTGGAAGTAGAAACGCAGCTCCAGCTGGCTGATTTGCACCGTGCACTGGATGAGCAAGTTTTGAAACTCTGCCACGTAATCATGAAGTGACGTGGTCTGACTAAGCGCACATAGTCGCTCCCGTAAGCGATACTCGCTGTCAGGTGGTAGGAATCGCTTGCGCATGGCTGCTTTAAAAAGAGCCAAGGTCTTCACGTTTCCTCTCGCGTCACAGTCCGCTGAAAATTGGCGATATCAGCTCATAGGGGTCACCCCCAGATGACATGAAATCATCGTGACAAATTGGGGCGACTCCTCCGTCATCTGAGGATGATAGTCCGCGTAATATTGTTCCACGGCAAAAACCCAAAGCTCGAGATCCTCGTCTAGCTTTCCGTAGTACGTTGGAGGTTGATTTTGGCGGGCCGCTGTTGGCCTCGATGTGAGCGCGTCGATGCGTGCCTCGCTGGCAGCGTATTGATGCTGCATAATTGCTTGAAATTCCGCTTGTTGGCGGGCGAGAAGTGCGATGACCTCTTCAAATGACTGCGGCGTGCTGGTCTCTTCCATAACGGTGCAGGTCTCAGCTCGAAGGTCGAAGTAGTGGATACGAGTCGATGCTTGGACTCTTCAAGTGCTACTATGTAATAGACTGAGGAAGCGTTTGTGTTGTTTGGCAACAAATTGAAAATTGACTATTGTTAGCTAGAATTTCTAGGACGTCTACACTCTATCGTGTCTACTCCTTGATCTTGTTTAGTCCTTCCCGTGATCTTGTTTAGTCACTAAATTCCGTCCCGTAAGCTTACCGTAAACTTTACCGTAAACTGTACCCATATTTAGGTACCATATTGTTTTACATGTTCAGCAATAATATGTACGGATTCGTCACACAGAGGAGGCAGCGGCTCAAGTACTAGCAGCGCCACAACGGTCATCATGGGATGTATCTTAACAACAGTTATGGTCCTGACAGTGTTGCTACACGTAGTATAGCCAAACGCGGATCTGTAGCGTTAGGCGCCGCATTAATGTACATACGAACGGTATCCGACATAGGCAGGTCTTCAGTCCCCCTCGGTAGATTTGGCCAAGCACCAATGTAATACAGTTAGCCTTGTTTTCCTATTCAATCGTTGCCCCATTTGAAGAATCCGCTCTGGTTTCGACAAACTTGATATCGTTACAGCGTCCATCATTTCCAACGCAGGGCATGGTTTTGGACAGGAATGGATTTTTAGAGTGCACTTTGGTGGATTATCGACAAAATCGTTAAGTCTTAAGTATTAACGCCCAAAAATGAAAGTGCCAATCTCAATCGCTTGTCGCCACATAAATGGACTCAACACGTAGATGGCAAAAGCTGACATGACCTATGCAGGATAACAGTAGAAGTTTGATCGGTACAAGGCAACGAGCGGTAAATAATTAAGTGAGAGCGCATCCCGTCGACAATTTACTACCTTATCTGGCCCCTTTACATTCTGGTGTGTCCCCGACATAGTCATTTGACCATATCGCTTTCGTTCGGCACCTCAAGCATGGTTTGCACTCGATAACCCACTCAAAACTCATCTCGTTTGGTTTTTGCAGGAGGACATCATTCACGGCAAGTAGTATAACACTCTACAGACGCTATAATAAAAGCAAAGAATGTAGGCCTACGGCAGAGTAGAAAAATGCCTAACAATGCACTTGCAGAAAATAGAAATAAATAAGATTTACAAATCCGTCATATTCCCGGTGCTGAATTCGTGTCAGTTTTAGGAGTTGAGAGTAATATGAGCTCTAGATATTCAGTAATAATATTCAATATCGTGATATGTGCGACGAATTCGTACCTCAATTCTTTTCAAAACTAGGTCGTCTGCGACTTACACTGGGAATGCAAGTACATTTTTTTTTCGAATTAGAAAAAAGGCGCTGTTTTCTTTTCGAGTTTTGATAGGTAAAATTTAATTTATAAAAAGTTTTCCGGTGTCCGTATCTACTACCAATCGCCTCAATGATACAAGGGGCGCACTACTGGACAACTTGCGCCTGGATTCGCAGGAAGGATAAATATTTTGTCTTCGAGTTCAATTTCTTCAATAAATCTATCTGGTCCACAGAAGCTGTGTTGGCAGCACAAACTACTTTTCTTGGGCTTCCCGCAGATCCTTTTTGCAACCGTTTTTTTTTGCTGCCAAATTTGTTTAGAACACCTTCCACTTGATGAAGAATGGTCTGGCGACTGCTTCAGATCAGCGGCGAGGAATAGTTGTGTTCACGCGAAAGTACTGCTCAGTGACCGAATTTGCACAATACACCTCATGGAAGTGGGCAATTCTTCAGATAAGTGGCTTCTGTCCTGTAACAGAAAATAAGACAGCACACAAGACCCCTTTGGCTGGTGTCTACCGGCTGTTTGTTTCTTTTTACCGCACAAAATACCGGTACAGCGTACAATACGCGACTTTTGCTACCATTTTTCTGTGTTTGTGAGCAATTCAATGCTTCTCAAGGGCGACGCCAGATTAAAAAAAAATGTTTGCCGGTGACACGAATGTTGCTTTCGATCTACTGTACAGTACACAGTAGTACTGTGTGGAATTAATCCAGTCCATACCGCTATGAGGCATTCCCAGTATAATATGTTGCTTCAAGTATAAATTAAGACCTCTTTGAAACGCTTACGAGAGCTACAAACCCAAAATTACACTATTATATATTTACTCAATCGCAACCAATTACATGACTACCGCAGCGAATATCAGCGTTATCGAAGAGCTCCAAAAGGCAGCCACCAATGTAGTAGGGGCGGATGAGCTTGGGCCACTTGCAGAACTACCGACCAATTCATCACCGACGCTGCTAGAGGATAAGTCCGCAGACCCGCTGCCGCTGCACACCCGCTCGAAAGGGGCCAAGATGTCTTTCCCGAGTGAGATATTCGTGCCTTGAATGGTGCAGTCGCCGAAATTCATTGACCGCATGCTGTCCATGAGTTTCATGCAGTCAGAACTATCGCAAACGGCCTGAATATGTTCGGCCGTAAGCGCCGACATGGCCGAAAATCCGCCAAACCCCACATCTGAAGTGCACCCTTCCAGGTGTGTGTCGCTTGCTATCGTCAGGAGCTCCGATGTAGAGCACTCCGCCGCATTCCCGGACGCGATTAATGCCACATTGACGACAAGAAGCCAGAAGAACATAGAATTCATCTTAAGTCTGCGTTGTTGTGCGGTGTCCTTCGTGAATTGAAAAGTACCAGTAGTTGTACAAGAGTAAAATCTCCCTTCCTGATGTTCTCAATAGCTCACACCTCATTTTTAATAAATAAAAATTTTATGGGGTCAGCTCATCCACCACGTGCTATTTACACATCGTGCGGCTGGTGCGGTCACTCCAGTAGAAATGGCTGTTGGGCACAGATGCTCTCGTAGCAGCATGAAAGTGTCCCGAAAAATTGCAATTTGATTTCTATATTAATAAAACCAAATGGGATGGAATGTATCCCACGTGATAAGATCAAACGTAGAAGGGAGGTCGGTCGTTCGGGTACATGTATCTTATGACACCGTCACAGGTATTTAAGCGCTCAAATCAAAGGCTCGACACTAAAAACCTCTGTATCCACAAACCTGTTGACTACGACGCGGTTTTACGTATTAGTAGAATTTACTTCACTTCTTGCAATGGTAGCTGCCTGGATGTGCCGGCATTTCTTTTGATGCACGAATTAGCATTAAACTACGTAGTAAAACAAAACCAGATCCAGAAACTACATTGACATTAACGGATGTACGCTGCGGACATGTTCAACTACATCAGTATCATGGCAACCGCCACAACGGCGGAGGCAAATCCAATTGTCACAGTTCCAGCCGTGTTGCCAGCTCCACTTGTGGAGCTGGAGCCGCCGGTGGCCTTGTCACTGCTAGAAGAGCTGGTTCCCGACTCATCACCGACGTTGGTGCCACCGTTTGAGGATGACGAAGATCCCGCCGCCATTGATCCCATTGTTCCGCTTCCGCTGCACATGGACCCAACTTGATCGAGGATGTCGCTCTGCACTGAAACATTGGAGCCAGGGATTGTGCAATCGCCAAGGTTTGCCGACGCCACGTCGTCCATTAGCCCCATACACGAGGAACTCTGGCAAACAGCCATGACCTGGTCCATTGTCAAGGTCGAAATGGTCGAAACGCTCACACCGGTGTCGGCGGTGCAGCCAGCAAGGTTGGTGCTGCTCGCAAGCTTCATAAGCGCTTCGGTGGAGCAATCTTCAGCGCTAACGGACCCAGCGAGGGCAAGACCGATCAGGACGAACGAAGTCAGGGAAGGCATCATGTCTTGGAGGGGGGGGGGGATTTGGGGGCGAACTCGAGGTGAATTGAGAAGTGAGAAGATGGAATGGGAGCTTACTGAGATGGTTGATGTTATCCTACTACAATCGGCTGGAGAGAGTACTCCCTGTGGTTTGCCATCCCGCAGCCTGCGGTATTTGATTAATTTAAATGTTAAACCGCGAGAAGGAGTTTGCTACGAGAGAAGCGGATTGGATTGTGCTTATCGCTGGAGAGTTGATACTCGTGTTAATACCAATGTTGCTTGTATGTGAAGATGACAACTGTTGCCTGTACGGGTCTACATGTACGCAGTTTCCTAGAAACTCAGATTTTTACCAGTTGTCGAAAGGAGTGCAAAGGGTCTTACGCATCATACCCACCAAATGTCCGAAATGGGTTAAGCAAGACGATCACGGTAGCTGCGGCAAGGAATACTGTACCATTCCAAAATGAAATACCGGCCCGCGGTGTGATGCGTGTTCATTACCTGCGTAAGCGGCTGTGCACTTCCCTAGTAGAACACGATGTCGTTGATGCCCATGCTAGCTGGGCAGTAGCTTGGTATTTAAGCAGCAACCGACATTGTTCATGTTAGACAAGGGTAACTTAGACGCAGATAAACATGGAGGGATTTTTGTTTCAGTAAAGAAGTAATCTGGCGTCAAGTCACCTTACCTACTTTTTTTTCTGTTTTACTCCCAGCTTTATTAGAGCAAGTACCGGTATGGGACACGGTCCACGCAGCTTTCAGTCCCTTATACCCTTTTAAATCACCTTTGGCGTTATCTCGAATTTATTAAAAATTGCTCTCTAAATCCGATACCCTTTCCAATCATATTTGACCTTCACTCCGTCTTCATATCAATCCTATCTGAGTCATTCCACATTTGCCAATTAAGCCGCAAAGACCTCACAATGTCGAGCGATAAGTCCGATGTGGATGTGCTGACCTCTGTGTTGTCGGCGATGACCGTGCGCCACGACGACGACCACCTGATCACGCAGCGCCCTGCCGCCACCCTGAAGGAAATCCTCGAAAAGATCCGCGCCAACAAGGACAAAATCCGCGAGCTGGACCTGAAAGACATGGCGGCCAAGAAACGCAAGCTCCGCTCCCCTGGCGGAGACCTCGTAGGCCGCGTATTCCAGCTGAACCGTACAGTACGTCGCCTGTTGCTTCCGGGTCACGAGATCGAAGATGTGGGTGCCAAGAGCATGGGCAACATGCTAAGAGCGAACAACACTCTGCAGCACTTGGACCTAAGGGGCAACGAGATCACAGGCGAAGGCGCGCGTGCTATAAGTGACGCTCTGTATGGCCATGAAAGTCTGGAACACTTGGGTCTGTCCAGCAATAAACTGGGAGACGAAGGCGCCAAAGCCGTAGCCCAAATGATCCCTTACAATATCTCGCTTAAGTATTTGGGTCTTGCCTATAACGGGATTGGCGAGGAAGGGGGCAAAGCTCTATTAGAGGCTGTACTGCAGAACCGCTCGCTGGTTATGGTGCAGCTGGTGAAGAATGACATCCCGCAGGAGATTCTGGACAAGATCCGAGCGGCGCTGGTCGTGAACAAACTCATGCAGAAGAAAGCCCAGCGAGACGAGGAGAAGGAGCAGAAGAAATACGAGGAGACGGAGAAGGAACTGGTCAGGATGAGAGAGGAAGCGCTCAGCAACCAGAACGAGGAAGAGAGCTCCAGTGACGAGGACGAAGACGACGAGTCGCTGTGGATTTAAGTGTGTACACATGGTACACAGAACCCAAAGTGACTTTTTGTAAACACGTATAGCAAAGAGTGATGAAATGAGTGGCCTTACATAAAAAAATGTTACGCTACGAAAAGATACGTTTATTTTTGTAACACACCTGCGACTATTCATTGAGGGAAATCGCATGGCGCGGGATAAAGATGGAAAGCCTTTGATGTCGCTGGAGGCGATGAAGGAGGAAATGTTTCAGTCCATCCGTGACGACGGCACCGTTGAGCTTATTCGAGTGAGGTCAAGAGCTGCATACTGAGGCTAGAAGATGCTCACGCGTACTCCTGTACAGGCGCAGCTCCGAAGACAATTCATCGAGAAACTTCAGCAGCAGCGTCGACGAATTGACGATCGAGACGAAGAGAACAACGCTTGGCGAGCTAACCAAGACGCAGTAAGCTCTACACCTGACGAGAAGTTAGTCCACGGCTTGGTGGCGGAGTATCTGGCGTCCAAGGGGCTAGAGAACACTCTTGCAGTGTTCGTACCTGAAATCGGAGGCGCACGAAATCAAGTAGACAGCGCCACGATCTTGGAGGTATTTGTTACTTAAGTATGTTTATGTAGCTTTGGTGCAATTAACAATGGCCTTTACAAACACGAAGATACTCCACGTGAGCTCGGATATACAGGACAAACTAGTGAGTCACATGATCTCATTGACACCTTCGTGTCTATACTGATGAGATGAACTTTACTGCGTCAGAAACTGGAGCGAGCAAGCACGGGGCATTCACTACTTTTCGTGCTTGTAAAGGAGCTGATACGTCGATTCCAGCTCGCGACGATGGACTCGGGCACGCAGACAGCAATGGATTGCTTTGACCATCGCATCGTCTTGGGTGCGTGGCGCTTTACCAGCTTTATCAAACCTTCTGAAGTAACATTCGGATAATTTCACTTCAGAGAATGAATTGCGACGAGTGGAGAACTCTTACTTAGCGGAATGTGCCGCTCAAAAGCTCGAACCCCAGAAATCTCTTGAAGAGCGTATGGTGCAGTATCAACGCGAATACGATGATATTTGTGAGAAGCGACTTCGAGAGGAATTGGAACGATACAAATCGACTGAAGTTGCTCTAGTGCGAGCTGAAGAACGCAAGCGGTTTACCCGAGAAGTGGATAACCTTCGCGCGTCTTTGTTACAAGAATATCGCAACAAGCAGGAGCGTCTGCAAGAACACGAACGTGAATTAGAAACTGCTTTTGCTGCTCGACGGACGGAACTGGAGACGTCGCTGTTTGAAACGCGCCAGTCGCTGTTCAAAGACATGGAGAGATTGCGAGTCAAGGAAGCCGAGTTGCAAGTGAAAACCGAGAGCGATTTTCGACATTTCGCTAGTGAAACGCAGCGCTTCCAGCTGTGGGAGGAGAGTGTGTGTACCCAAGAAGCAAACTTAGAGGCGGTTGTGGCCCAAACACTGCGGGAAAAAGAGCGTGCGTGGAATATTGAACGCCAGCAAGCTCTAAACGACATTCAGACAAAGCAGGACGAGCTGGCTGAGCGTGAAAGAGCACTTGCAACCGAGACAGGGACACTCAAGACGATGAAGACCCAAGTGGCTGGCTTACAACAAGAAGTGGCGGTGCTGGAAGCTGCTTTGTCGGTATGTTACAAATTGCTATGTTTAACGGTTATTGTTATTTAACAATTCGATATTTTTTGTTATCAGAAATCAGGAGATGAATTACGTATAGCTCAAAGCTCAGCACTTCAACTGGATAAAACCCGACAAAGACTTGAAGAGCGAGTGACAGAATTGGAGACTCAACTAAGTGAACACAAGAGCAACGTGGTGGATATTAACACAACGAACGCTTGTCTCACCGCTGAAAAAACGCTTGTTAGTAACGAGCTATCGCGTTATAAATTAAAGAACGCAGAGATCAAAGAACAGATGAAGTCATTTGCTGCCGAAGTCAAGTCTCTACAGCGACAGATACTCGACATGAAGCTCAATGAAGCCAACGCCATTGTCGCTGAGCGCAAGAGGTTCATGCAGGTGATAGATGAAGAACGAGAACGTTCGCAGTGGAAAGAGAACGAGCTGGTTCTAAAGCTACGGGAGATGCAAAGTCGCTTGGTCGAATCCGAGGCTCAAGCTGAAAAATACCAGAGCCAATACGAGGACGAAAAAGTCCACGTAGAGTCTCTACGTCATGACGTGTCGAGCTTGAGCTCGCTGTTAACGCAAGCGCAAGCGACGATCAATGCGAAACATGGCGCTGCGAGAGACACCGTGAGCTTCAGAGCGCAGCGCGCAAGCGGCAACGACTCGTCTGATTTGAGAGGAGGAGAACGTGCATTTATGATGAAGATGATGGAAATGATGACAAACCTCCAGCAAGATCGCGATAGTGAATATATAAACGCTAGACAGAGACCATCGACCTTATCACACACGTCTCAGGTGGACGATGAAGAGGAGAAACAGCTTAAAGAAGAGCGAGAACGGATTGAACGAGAACTAACGGAAAAACGCGAATACGAGAAGAAGCGAGCGGAAGAGGAAAAGTTTCGAGAGGAGTTACAACGACAACGTGCAGCGGAACAAGAAGCTGCCGAGTTAGAGAAGAGACTGGCGGAGCAACGCTTAGCAGACGAGAAGCAGAGACTAGTGGAAGAAGCGTCAAGAGAGAGAAGACTGGCTGAAGAACAGAAGCTCAATGAGGAACTGGAGGAACAACGTCGACAACAGCTTGAAGACGAGTTGGCAGCTAAGCGAAGAGAAGAACGAGAAGCTGAGGAAGAGCGTTTAAGACAACAGCGCCAGGCACAAGAAGAAGAGCGTCTGAGGCAAGAGCTTCAAGCACAAGAAGAAGAGCGTCTGAGGCAAGAGCTTCAAGCACAAGAAGAAGAGCGGATCCGGTTTGAACAGGAGCAAGCTGACGCTCTTCAAGCTGCGATCCAAAAGCAAGCGGAAGAAGATCGTCGACAAGAAGAAGTGGCTGAGATAGAGAGAACGCGCGAAGAGGCTGAGGAGACAGAAGAAGAACTCAAAAAGGAACAAGATAAAGAAGAAACATTGTGGGAGCTCACTGCTGAAGACGATGACGCGGATCTCTGCTACTCTGAAGAGAAATCTGACGCGGTCGCACTACAAATGACTGTGGAGATTGCTCCAATGGACAATGCTGAAGAGGATACCACGAGCGATGCTCATTGTGACAACGAACAAGTAGCAGAAGAGTCAATTGCCAGCTCTGGTAGTCAGAATAGTGTTGAGGGTGACGATATAGCTGCTACACCTGCACAAGACCCACTGCCAAAAACTCCCGAGGAAGAGGAACAAGAACGACAACAAGCTGCTGAAGAGGCCAAGAAGAAAGAGGACGAAGACGCCATCGACGTGTATCGACAACGCGTTCTTGCTCGCAAAGCTGCAGAGAAGCAACGTCAGCTGGAGCTGGCAGCGGAACACGAACGAGAGGCAAAAGAAGAGGAGGAGCGACAGCGAGCTCAGCTGCTGGATGCGAGTGAATCGGATCAAGAACTGGAACTGTCGGGTGGATCATTCGCAGAATCCAGGTATGTGACTCTTTTTATTTGAAATCTTGGTCCATGGATTTTAGCTGTAACATTTGCTGTAACAGTGCTGCAAGCAACAGCGACTCGTTCTAGATTTGAGGATACGTGTGGGTTCTAAATAATCGGTTGAAAGGAATAATGCGATCGGTTTTTTTACTCAACGACCTTTCCCTGACTGTGGCTTTGGTCAGTTTTTCATTGTTGCAACTTCTTCTAAGACGATGCCTCTAGGAAATGACAGCCGCGCTTCTCGCCGGCCACTGCCTCGACAATTAGACATGAGCGGATGGAGTGGAGATGGATCTTCTGCAACACACATCGATCGAACATCGAGGGCCTCGCGGGATGCAGACGACTTCAACTATAACAGAACCCTTGAAGATATAAGCGGTTATGACACCTTCGAAGAGAATGACCGCCCACTCCGACACTCCAGGGAAGAATCACGGCGTTCGAGATCTTCACGAACTTCCGACTTTGACAGGGGCAGCTTTTCAAGTGGACATAGTATGACCCGAGGGAGTACGTTGAGCACTGACTTCACGTCGCTTGGGAGTAGTAGAGACGCACCACGAGGTGATCGAGAGAGTCGACAGGATAACCAGCGAGACGTCGATGAGTTTATTCATCGTGACCGAAGAGTCTCGTCTCGGTGGAGTCAGCGGGATGAACCACGAACCTCAGACCATGAAAGAAGTCGTCAACGAGCTTCTGCTTCGGACTCGATGTCCTACTCTTCTATTCGATACGGTGAATCCGAGAACTACGAGTCCAATGACAAAGCTGACTCCATTCGCGGAGCTGAGTCACCCGTATCAGTTCGAGTAGCATCTAGCGTGAAGTCGTTTGGGAACGAGGACGACGAATCTGTTCGCAAAGCGCCAGCGATCAGAACTTCATCACTCGCTCCAAGCTTTGAGAACCAAGATGAACAACGCCTCAGCCGAACAAACTCGGAGACATCCATTTCACCCGCTTCCCCTCGTTCCGATTGCGATTCTGGTCCGCAAAGATCCCGAGACCGGTATCCGGAACTGTCCATTTCATCCCCACTGCCTGCAGACAGAGCTAGTGACAGGAGAGTGCGTCCCTCGTCGCCGGGCTCTTCAGTCTCGGCTACAAGTACAGCAGCCAGTAGGAAATCCTCACGATCGACTGAATCTTCGATGCGTGACCTCCGTGAAAACCTCTATGCATTCCGTAAACAGATGCGCGAGGTGTTTATCCGCGTGGAGGACATGGTGGATGTGCATCGCTCCTTCTTTAAATCAGATCCAAGTACCGGAACTCCAATCTTCCGTGAGGAGCTCGAGCACGAGGCGGAAAAATTAGCCAACGAAACTTTTGAGCAGCTAGCAGATCTGCGGAAACATTTCACGCTACTCTCTAAAGATTTCCAGCGATCCGAAACAGCAACATACGAACAGTCTGTTCCGAAACGAGATAAAAGAAGTCCTTTATCTGTTTTAGAGACATCTCCACGCCCCATCCGAGCATCGCACACAACTTCGATCCGTTTATCGGATGATGAGAATAATAGCGCAAAAGGCTCCGACCATCCAGAAGATGATACAAGCGAATGCGTCTCGGCGGCCAGCGAAAATAACGACGAGCCTTTGCATATGGAGCAGTCGTCTAGTATCCGACACTCTTCTCAGGACAGCGACAATGGAACTCCACGTCCCTTAACGTCTACGAACTTGTCATCGCAGCTCGAGTCTTCGTGGCGAAAAAATTCGGACGCAGAGTCCATCGCCTTAAGCGATATCAGCGCACGCACGAAGACTCGTGCTCCAAGTGTCGTGAGTGACACTAGCTCCCTTCGTAGCAAGAGGGAACCCGATGCAGATAGCATCTTCAAAGGTGAGCTCTTCGGTTGAACCCATGTTGACTTTTTTGGCCACTTCAACTCATCATCTGACATTTTCTTTGCTGACTACCGACATACATGTACTAGATTTTGACAAGCGCATGGAGCAGATCCGCTGCTCTCTAAACGCTATTGCGAGTGGAAAGAAGCCGATACAACATTATGGCAACACTTTGAGCATTGCGACGCCACCGAAACATTTCACGGTAAGGATGAAATGGCGAGATGGCTACAATTGTTGCCAGCAATTGTCGCTTGAGCAAATCTAACGCTGCTCAATTGCTGACGCTAGGGTGGAGGAGCGAGTTCACCCATCCGCGCAATGATGGACGTGACTCGTGCGCGGACAACTCTGTGTGAGGCGTCGCGGATAACTAGGCGGCTGGACACTAAAGAGGACGATGACAGACCACGACACGGTGGTCGAGAAGCCGAGCTGCGGCAATTGCTGCAGGAACTCAACCACATCAACTCCCGTAACGAGAATGAAGAGGACTAAAGTCGTTGTGTTGAAAAGCACAGCAGCAAAATAGCGGCTGACGATAACTCGTTGATGGTGAGAATGTAGTCAAGTCTGCTTCGAAAACCTCAAAATTTCACCAGTAAAAAAGAGCGTAAAATTTAGCGTACCTACAATCCTTTCGACCGTGATATCCCAAGTAGTTATACACTCCAGATACGAATAGATTTTGGATCCCTTTGATCATTTTAACAAGCTACCGGTTAGTGAGCTGCAAAGCTGAATTATTACTGAATAAAGACCATAAACTATGACATACACGGAAGGATGGTCTGTGGAATATTTTTCCTGTTGTTATAAGCTGTTCGACAATGTCAGCCAGTCAGGTTGACATCTCCTCCGCGTATCAAAACCGGCAAGCCATGGAGATATGGGCGTATTTAACACCTGCACTCATACTCTAGTGCATGAGCAAATCGCTCCGTTCAACCCGGCCGGGCGGCCATAGCATCTATTATTTTTGTAAAAACCAACGAGTTTGATATTTTTGAACCATCGATTTGTTTACCTCTGAATTATGAGAACCCCAGTTTATGATAATTGGTGGCCGAGAGTAAAGCCGTAGTTGGGTAGCGGTGAAACACCTCCTTGATGGTCGCCTTCGCTACAACACCGAAAGACCTCTATTCGTCGTTGGTCCATCCAGCACTGCCTGGACGACGAATCTTTGACGATCAAAGCGTCGTTTTAATGGCCGGCTTACTTTTTTGGTCAAAATTGTATCTGCCGGTATGTCAGATAGGTGGTACACTGTGCCATTTCTTTCCCTCAGACTCCGTTGCAGTTTGAGTGCGATGTGCTCTTCCGCCGCCTCATTTGCTGACTTTCCGCGTCGCGTTTAAGCGCTCCCAGCACACGTGCAGATCGCTCAACAAATCTAAGAATCCATGGCTCCTGCAGCTGAAGAGAAGGCGCAGCGATACAAGCTGGTAGTACGCGTCCACAGCGCCGAGGAACTGCAGCATTCTTCTTCGCAGGGCGCTTATTGCAAGCTCTACGTGGGGGCTACGGCCATGACAGAGGGCAGTCACAAGGCGCTGAGTAAAAAAGACTCAAACGACTCTTCCACGTCCAACGAGGACGTGGATGAAGCCTGGCATCTTGAGGTGCGGCGTACGCGCACACAACACCAGCAGCCCAACGCGCTGGCGCCGTCCGAGACCATTTGGGATGAGGCATTCGAGGTGCCCATCCGCCCGGGCGTCGATTTGGCGACGCAGATCGTGAGTATACGCGTGAAAAGTCATCATCTTTTCTTCTGCCCCGTGGTGGGGGCGTGCGCAGTCTCGCTGGCAAATTTGTTGCCAGGGGAGAGATTGGAGCAGTGGTTTCCTCTGCAAAAGGGAAAGAAACCGGCCGGACGCATTCGAGTCATGCTACTGATTGTACCAGAAGATAAGGCTGTGATATCTTTGGTGCCCCGAAGAAAACAGCCGAACCAAGATATCATGGCGGCAAGAGCGGCGAACCATGAGGCCGATGAGGCGATTAAAAGACTCGTCGATAAGCAGTTGAGGCAAGAGGCCGAACGACGACAGCGCAGACTCGAGAGAACGTCGAGTGGACCGCCAGTGGAGGTGAAGCGACCAGTGGACCGAGAAGCAAGCCATCTAATTGGCCGGAAAATGGACGAGGTGGCGATGGGAGATCGGCACAAAAGAGGAGGCAACTCGACGTGGCCGCCCCCTCCAGGTGTGTCGTCTCCGAAGGTGCTGCCACCGCTTGGAACTCCTGCGGCATTTCGAGATAACAACAAGGAAAACGAACTTCCGAGTCCGCCACCGACTGAACAGCCAGTGTCACCGATGTCGGAATATGAACAGCGACTAGACAAGAAGTTGCGGCAAGTGCGGAAGGAGACGGCAAGACTACGCAAATTGAAAATGCAACTTAAGAAATACATTCCGGATTTGCAAATGGATTCGGATTCGGACGACTCGCTGGAATCGGATGAGGAACCGGAAATGTGGCTGTCCGGATCGTCGTCTGGCTCGGAGCGACATCACCATCGCGTATACTCCAAGGAAACCCACCTGCACAACCAAAACCTCTCGAAAGTAAAGTCTGCAACGCCTGACGGAAGCAAGGTGAATAAGGTTACCAGATCTGATAAGCATGGTACAGCCGTCGTCTTCTAGCAAACGTATTACACCAAACCTAGCAAAATATTTTTAGTGACGTAAATTGATACTTAAGTGTTTTTAAGGGGAAAAGTGTCTCCTAGTTTGGACCCTCTACCAATCCTATGCTAAAAACTCCAGGAGCAAGAACAGCAAGCACGATGGCTTATGGCTAACCAGCAACTCGTTGGGCTTCTTGTCAAGAGTAAAACTAAAACTTTTATAATGATTCAGGGCTCACAGGCATTTTGAGTGTCACAGTAGCAAATTGAGCTTCGCTGTAGAATAATGCCGGTAGCGTCGGATCATCATCTGCGGTGAATGTTTGTATTCTTCCTTTTTGCTGTTCGGTATTCTTTCAAAATCGTGCAGTACAGTATCCACTCAGATATTGTGCGTTCTTTGGCGCCCCACCGACAGATTGGATGAGTTTTACGCCCGGATGGGCAAAGATTCTTTGGCTACACTTCGACTCGATCATCAGTTGATGATCGCGACGTTCCCGCCTCACGATCATTACGGAATTGGAGGAGCTCCGAGCAAGCGCTGGAAGTTACAGTGTAATCATGAGCTACGGTCAAAATACTTCTTGTACGCTGCTTCTTCACGTCCAGTCGGCACAAGATTTGTCAACGTCTGCGAGCGCCGCCTTCTGCACGACTTTCGTGTGGAACAACTCTGGCCCTGGTGGCCCTACGCAGTCAACGTCTAAGCCAAAGTACACGAGCTTCAGTCGAATTCATAAGGACCTGCCCGTCGAATGGAATGAGGAATTGCAACTTGATGCGACCAATCCGCAGTCCGAAGTGCTCACAGTCCGCGTGAAAGACTCGAGCGACGCACTTGTGGGCAGCTGCAACGTCTATCTGGCACACCTGCATCCGGGGCAGGCTTTGGACCAGTGGTTCCAGCTTCACCCCGCTGGACACATTCACTTGAAGTTGGTACTGAGACCCAACCAACAGTCCACACCAACCCCCGTTCCGAACTCTCCTTACTCTACCGACTACCAAGCGTTGCTCGAGATCGCGATGAAGAAGAGAGCAGCAACAGTGAACGAATCACCTCTTCCACCCAACATCGCCATGATGCTAGAGCTCCAGAACCAGGCACAACAGAATACCATGGCCATGATCAACCAGCAACTCCGACAGCAGCAACAAATGACACAGAGTTTTATGCAGCAACAGTCCCAGTCTCCCTTCCCAGCCGGTTACCCTGCGTCTTACCAGCAGCAGGCTAGCGGTCACAATTTCCACGAAATGATGGGGACTGCCGCCAACATGTCCACCATCGCTGCCAACATACAGCAACTCAACGGCAACAACACCGGCAACAGTGGATTAGGCACCGCGGCTTCTATCGGTTTAGGTGCCCTCGGTCTGGGACCTTTCGGAGCCTTCTTCGGATCGTAAGCCGGGAAATAAAAATGGTTGTCAAGTGGAAACTTAATATACTAGTAAACACATTGATATCTTTGACGCAGTACATGTACCGGTACTTGCGCTTTTAGTACTATTTTTTCGGCAGGAAGGCAAACGCTCTATAACGTTCCCTCCCTTACAACGCCCCATCTGCCGTACCGTTCCAAAAAGGTGATCCGGAATTACTCGACGTCTTGATGGGTACACATTTTTCTGTAGCTCCTCGCCACCGACTTCATTCCGCAACTTTCCTTCGATCCGATGGAGCGTCTTCACTCCACGTCAAGCAGAGGCTTAGCTGGATGGGGCAACCCAACTTTGCCCAAGAGCGGCTTCACGCTGTTCCTCCGCGTACATTCCGCTCAAAATCTGGCGGCAATGGGGCGTGGATCGTACTGCAAACTCTATCTCGGCAACACCGAAGTGGTCGAAGGATCCGCTAATGCTGGAGCCTCATTCAGCAACCTTTTGGCGGTCGACAATGGCCAACCTTCGACTCACCGAATTTTCCGGACGAAAGTTCTGTACACAGACCAGAAATCCTGTCCGGAATGGAACGAGAAGCTCGAGCTCCACGTGATGGACCCGGATATCGAGATCTTAACCATCCGCGTTAAGAACCAGCTGATGCTCTTCTGTCCTGCTATCGGCGCATGTGCCATTCCGCTTTGCAATGTGAAAATAGGGGAACCGGCGGAGCAGTGGTTCCCTCTGTACAAGCAGAACAAACCCGCGGGTCATATCCGTCTTCAGCTGTTGCTAAAGGAGAAAGATCCTGTGCTGCAACAGCCTCCTGTGGCAGTAAACGAGTCACCGATGCAAAGGCTGATCCAGCAACATTGCCAACAAGAGCGAGAGCGGCGTCAATCGCAGCAAAGTGAGGAAACGATACGACGTCGACAGTTTGAAGAGCACGAGAGGATGGAAATGGAGTTGAGACGACAGAAACGAGAAGCCGAAGAGCGAGAACGGACGGTAATTGAGGAGATGGCAAAGATGCAAGCATTTCATGAGCAAATGCAACGAGAGGAGCAGGCGAAAGTTCAGACTTATTTGCAGAAACAAATGACTCACGAGGAAGTTTTTCATGCTCAAGTGTTGCCAGAGAAGATGCGCAACTTAAAGATTGAGGAAACACCAGAAGTAACGAAAAACGTTAAGTACTTTGCTGATGACGTCGCGACATCATCGACGTCAACATCGAGTTTTTCTGGTTTACAGGACGGAAGTCATGAACGCATTCCGGAAGCTGTGGAGGTTACCGACGTGATGTTGGGAGAAGTGATGCACGACGCCTTGCCCTCGGACTCGTCCGATGAAGATGGGACGCAGCGGATCCAACGCAAGGAGAAAGACCGGGATGCTAGTACGCGGCCACATGGGTTGAAAGAAAGCGAAGCGAACAGCCCTCCGTTGTTCCCTAGAGCTTCGGACACAAAGTTAAAAGGGGAGATCCCTCAAACGAGGTTATCTGCACATGACCCGTCAAGCTCAGAGGAAACGTCCTCCTCTGAGGAAGAACGTCGTCATCGTCGACGACGTCGCAGGGAGAAGAAAGCGAAACGAAAAGAGCGTCGCCGAAGACGCAAAGCGAAGCGGAAAGCTCGACGAGAAGCCGATGGATACGATTCTTCCTCATCCTATTCCTCGTCTTCCTCGTCGCCGTCTTCGTCTTCGTCGACATCGTCAGACGAGCGCCGCAAGCGTAAGTCTCGGAAGCATAAGAAGATCAAGGAAAGAGCGCGATCGCACCGTGAAGGCAAAGCGAGTTCTTTCGCTCGAGCGTCCGCTCCGTCTCACTCAAACTCATACGGTCCAGACCACTCGAACTACCCGACCAACAAATACAGTGAACGCCCTCCGCAGTACTCAAAGTCTCAGCACGGAGCAGGATCGTCGTCGAACTACATTGAGTCGTTGCCTCCTCAGCCTCAGCAGAAACGGACAATGGCCGAAAAGATCAGTACAGCTGCAGATGTGGCCTCCATTCTCTCGGATATAGCGTCTGTGGCGACGAGCGTTCAGCAGTTAGCTGGCGGTGGCGATGCTGGAGGCGGAGGCATCCCATTTACTGTTCCTGACATGAGCCAGTTTCTAGGGGGACAGGACCTTTCCGCATTAGCAGGTCAAGACTTCTCGGGCTTGGTCGGCGCCGACACCACAGCGCAGTACTTTTAGTTGAACGAGAGGTGCAGTAACCACTTTGCTTATCATGAAAATATGTTGGTTCCAGCAAATACACGCGACTAAAAAAAGTCGTTGCCGCATAATTATTGCCCTTTTGCAAGTTGCAAGCTGCAACATAATTCCAAATGACAAACTAAAGCAAGACGTCACGACACGTATTTCGTCATCAACATTCAAGGGATACACACAACTGACTGAAGCACACTTCGATCAATCTTGTCACGTAGTAACGCTGCTTGCGTTCCCTCTGCCACTGAAATTGAATCTAAAAACCCGTTTTGACTTGATTCCAGTAGGTGTTTAACTTCACCCGTTTCCCTTAGTACATGTAAAGGCAACACCAGCTGCAGCTCACTTCTCAATCGTCGCTGAATATGGCGCAAGAAGGCCCTCCAATGTCCCGCTTCCGAGCCTTCACGACGGCGCTGGGGTTCAAACCCAGTGGCGATACGCCGCGATCTTCATCCGACCAGTCAAGTGTCCCTCAACGACCCGTCAGCATGTCGTCGTTGCGGCCTCTCTACGGCAACTTCACGCTCTATCTCCGCGTGCATTCGGCCAGACACCTGCCGGCCATAGCTCAAGCTTCCTACTGCAAATTGTATTTGGGCGACGAACCCATAATCGGAGGTTTTGGGCAGGGGAAATCCCTCGTCGGTCTTGACAAGAAACAAGGCCACCAAACGTACCATACTAAAGTACAGACGAGCCCCACAAAGGACTGGAACGAAAAGTTCCAAATGAATGTCAAGAACCCCAATGTCGAGGTGCTGACCATCCGCGTTAAGAACCACGTTCTGATATACAGTCCGGCAATTGGGGCGTGCGTCGTCCACTTGCGGCAACTTCAACTTGGGCAAACTATCGACGAATGGGTACACTTGTACAAGAACGACAAACCCTGTGGCGAGATCCGACTGCAGCTCTGTCTGCAGGAGAATGCGCAGCTGGCCGTTCCCGAGCGTAGATACTCGCAAAGCAGCGAGGAAACGATTCAGAGATTGATGCAGGAGCATCGCGAGCTGGAGGAAGCGCAACGACGAGAGCTGGAGCTGCAACAAGAGGAAAAGTGGCGGAAAATGGAGGAAGACGCTGTGAGACATGCCGGACTGGAGCAGCAAATTGAACGAGAGGAAAGGTACAGAGAGCAGTGTGCGAGGAAGTTGGAACTGGAACAGCAACAGAAAGATAGTCGCAACTCGGATTCGGAATTGCCTGCTAGTTTTAAGAACCGAGGTGTGAAGAAGGACGTACTTTCGGATTCTGAGTTACCGTCGAGTTTCAAGAATCGTGGTGTGAAAAACGAGGAAATTGCTGTCGAGAAGATCGAAAACTTGACGCTACAAGCGGATGCGGAAGAAAGCGACCAGCAAGAGGTGAATTTTGGGCTTTCAAGTGGGTACACTATCTACGGCGTTGATTCCGTAAACACGACAGCACTCCCTCCAAGCCGGCAAATATCAAGTTTCGGAACGATCCGGCTGTCGGTGGAAGAGCTGAACCAAGTAGCACACAATGCACTACCAACTTCGGATTCTTCCGAGTCAGAGCACGAACGTCGTCGCCATCGTCGCAAAAAGAATGAACGCCGTCATCGTAAGAGATATTCTAAACGAAGGGGTTATAGTGATGCGTCTTCAGACGATAACTCGATATCTCCGAGGAGATACGGCAAGGATTCATTTTGTCCCAAGGCTTCTGAACACGAAGGACTTAAGAAGCGGTCGACACAGAGCTCTGTGTCGTCCAGAAGCGGATCCAGTAACCACAAACAGAGCCGACAGGATGCAGACGTCCCTGTTATCTTGACGTTCCCACAAAGTCCAGCTGATAAGCCCTCGTTATCTTCGTCTGAAGATGAACACCGTCGTCGTCGACGTCGTCGAGCTGAAAAGATAAAGAGACGAGAAAAGGAAAATAGACGCAGATCCAAGCGAAGACAAACCAAGACCCGACGGAACTACGAGAGTAGCTATTCGTCTTCGTCATTATCTCCGTCGTCTTCACTTTCGTCGTCGGAAGAGGAACGTCTTCTGCGGAAACTCGAGAAGAGAAAGTTGCAGAAAGCTCGGACTCGTGCTAAACGTGTGGAAAGCGAAGGAGCTTCAACCCAATCGTCAGGTATGCATCTCCAGCGCAAGCTTAGTTACGCTGACACGCGTAACAAAAAATTCATGTCTCCCTATGTTACACAGCACTGGAGCTCAGAGCAACTTGAAGCCAGCGGGAACCATGGTCTTGGACTCGAAACACCTTCTTCCTTAGCTCCAAACCGCGTTCACAGTAACTACGGACCGGATGGAGTCGGATTTGATGAGCCTGGTCAGACTGCTACTCCTCAATATCTTGGACAAACCACCAAGGAGCAAACCAACGCGGAGTTAATGCGCTCATTTTGCTTTTAGTGTATTCGTTTAAGTTCTACATTCGTCCAATTTGATTCTTGTTTCTATCTCTGTTCGCCATATTTGCGTTGCCTTAGTTGTACAGCGTGTTCGGTAATTGGAGGTATCCATGGATACCCCGAGCAAGTTGGCATACCGTTTTTCCAAAAACTCATTTGAAGCCGACGCGGAATTACCATTCAGTGATTTCTATCCCGCTTGATTGGCGTTTTATTGGGCTGTTTCAGCCAATTAGCGCTAGCAATAATTAAAACTCGTTAGGGAGAGAGCGCGGAATAAATTATTTAATTTTGAAATGGGAGCTCGCAAATTAATTATTTTACTGCAAAATAAAAATTATATTTAATAAAAATAGCATTTACGGAACCCCTGTGTACGCTACGTATCGTGTTGGAAAGCGCGCACATTCTCTTAGGTTCGCACACCTCGCGAAATACTAAGAAAAACGATAATTTTTGCGTCGGCGGAGTGCGTGTGTGTCTGGTGGGACGGTGGTATAGACATTTTAAAAAAGTTTATATTAGCTTTAATATTATTAAAGTGCGCATATCTATATAACGATGATATAACAATTATGTGTAGTACTACTACAAAAGATGGCACCCAAAAATATCAAAACATAATTCAAATAGTACAAAGCGAATAATCTTGAAAGTAAAACTATTGCAAAAGTACTATTAAGTTAAAATCATCGTGGTCTTAGCAGTGTGTACTAAATTGACCATTTAACACGAAATCTATATCCCCAAGGCCCACAGTTTTAATTTTCAGCATTTAAGACTAAATTGAGCGTGCACATCGGCGCCGCCTTCTAATTCTAACTAACGCGCACTCAGGCAGCAATAATAAATACTGCGCTTTGGATGGCTCTCATCCGCGGGACACCACGTGTGGAGAGCCATCCAAGGCACTGTTTTTATTTTACCGAACACCCAAATAGCACAAACGACGCATAAGTGTCACCAAAAGAAAGAGCAGTACACCACACCAAAATTAAGAGTGGTTTCGCAAGAACTTATCTTTTCTCAAATAGATTTGGCTAACCACTATTAATACTAAAATAGCTAAGAGCGTAGCTTCATTTCATCTAAGTAACTTAAATTAACCGTACAGCAGTGTTATTGGAGCATTGATACCATGGAGAATAATCACGGTGGTGGTTTACCACGATGATTACCAAGCTTTTCACGGCCTTTAAGTGAGCTTCATCACTGCACAATTGATCATGTTGAACGTTACGAAGATGACCTGGCTGTAACGTGGCATGAAATGCGGTACATTGTAACTAAATGCAAATCACAACGCTGCAAAGCTACAGCAGAAACCTGCACTTGTTACTACAAGATTCTAGAGTGTCAAGAAAGCGACGGATAAGCACTGTTTTGAGCAAGGAGATCATACCATGCACGACGATGCTCCACCGTCTCCCATTCCATCGAAGTCATATCTGGAATACAAGGTGAATATTTCTCCATGTATGGTAGTTCAGTCGCTGTACGCATTCCTTTTCCGTAAATTAAAGAATGGGCACATCACTAGACCTATCTCGTAGCTTACATAGACCCAGAACTAACAGAAAGGATGGCGGCGCAAAACCCGATCAGATAGTATGGAGCCCGTGCTGATAATTTTTCCCCAGCGCATGTACGACAGTGATTCTTTACGCATCTGAATCAGACCCAAATTCGCTGCTAGTATTTTGCGACACAAAAATTGTGGACGACGTTGTGGAGCCTGCTCTCGGCAACTTATTTCGCATCGGTTTGACATACAAGCGTCTTTAGAGCGCTATGTCGAGCTGCAACAGGACTCTTCTCGTCCTACGCTGTTGCACATGGACAACTGTGCGTAGTAGAATACCCCGTTTCTGTAATGGTTTTTTCAGATCGCAGTGGAGCCTTTTTACCTATTGTGTACTGATGCACATCGCAAAGAGGATATTGCATGGTACGTTTCCTAATTACGAAAAGGTCATTTTGAATGCATTTGGCGTTCCGTTCTCGCCTGACTTCGTCACGATGGACGCAGACAAGGCCCAGCACAACGGCTGCACTGCGGATCTACCTGGAGCCTTCATTTTGATTTGCTGGTTCTATGTGACACAAAAGGTTTAAACATGCAAGTGATGCAAAGCTGGATTTGATCTCGTTAAAGATGATTTCCAGAAACTTTACGGTTTGCATTTTCTCCCGATGAAGAGCAGTATCAACGGAAGCGCGCGTTTGTTTTTAGGTCCTGGCGCGGTGCCGGTGGGCTAAACTCGCGATTTCGCCGTGTCTCGAACGACATTATTTCCTAATCGATTACAGGGGCTTGCTTTTTGCGTTAGCAAGTTTTCATACACCTACAGGGTATGCTACGACCAGCAGCCTTTTGGAGCCGTTTCACAAAACGCATAAGCTTATAAACGATAGTCAGCGTGCAAACCCTGTCGAGCTCGTTGTTCGCTTGGGTTTATCAAGTATTGCACATGTATCATCAATTATGGATTTTGTCGATATAACAATTGTGTCGAAAAGATTGCTTGCTGTGTATTGAAGAAAAGGTGTGGGACGCAGTAGTGGTACACCGTGCCGAAGGTTCTGT